AGGACGCCCTGCAGTGGGCGAAGGACGACTACCTCCGCGACGAGATGGTCCGGCAGCGCCGTGCCCTGGAGGAGATCGAAGCCCGCAAGCGCGGGCGCGAGGACGAGCACGGCGTCGTCATCCTCGACAGCGATGACGACGAGGACGCCCCCGGACCGTCCAACCCGCCGCGCCAACCGGGGAGGGATGCAGCAGGGACGGCGGCGGAGGAGGAGGCGACGCCGCCGCCGCCGCCGACGGCGACTACACACGGTTCTACATCCTCCTCGGCATGTAGAACTGCGAGGGCGGGCGGCGGGCGGCGGCGAGGCAGACAGCGAGGAGCAGCGATGGAAATGGCGAGTGGCGGCCCCTAGTAGTTTTTTCTTTTTTTTGTAAAATATGTTTAAGTTTGAACGAACTCGCCGAAATTTGCAATGAATTTGCGCCGTGTTTGTGCCGTGTTTAAATTTTTTAAAACAATATGGGCGCCGCGACTGGGGGGCATCACGCCCCCGGCGCGCGGGTTAGCGCCGGTGCGCTCCCGGGGGCGATTTTTAGCCCCTCCTGGGGGGGGGCAACGGCTGGAGATGCTCTGAGTTCGTCACCTGTAGATCGAGCAAATCTAGACCACCTCGGGATTTCGGGTGGCAAACTGCTTCTAACTGACCAAGCAATGACCTCCCTGAACCATCTCCGTTCCTTTCCAAAGGAAAGCACGTCCGATTTTATGAACACCCAAAGAGGTGGATCCAAAGCCATTAAATGGAAGATAGGCAGATAACACTGACTGAACTAGGATTAGACGACCACCCTGAAACAAGAGTCCAGCCTGCGAAAGGGGCAATCTTGCACTAATTTTATCGGAGACTTTGAAGGTCCACCTTTGTCATCTTTCTGATTTGAAGCGGCAAACCTGATGCCTGATACACTCCCTCCGTGTTTACTATAGTTGAGACACTTATGTTGGGATAGAGGAAGTATTTACTACTGAACAGATGCCATTTGCTTGGCTTTTTCTGATTTTCTCTCATGAAAAGTAATAGTCCAAAACTGTACATTGGACACTTTGCAGAGACAAGTATAGACAGTTTTTTTTTTTTGGACATGGAGAAATTGGAACTTTGTACAGATGTGAAACAGATTTCTCCTTCAAGATAACCAGATGTTAACAAAATGAATAGGATCAGCAAAGCACCCCAGGTAAGAGAAACTACCATATCAACAGAAGCCCACCAAACTGGCCAAAAAACCCAAAATGTGCAGAGGCAGCCGCTAGCCGCAACATACTTGGGACATATCACGATCTCGCAAACAGCCGGGCGGCGTTAAGGTTGCAAGAAGCTGGGTCCCTGAGGCAGCTGCAGAAGCCATCTTCGTCGGTCGGGAACGATGCCGGCAATGGACGGTCCGGAGTCACACCGACCTTTTTACCAACAAAAAACATTTCAAAGTGTCAGGCCATCTGGTATCAACATCTGTTGAGTCTTATCGATGCCATGGTGCGGCAAAGCAAAGCAATGCTCACCTTATCTATGTCAGTATGCGCAGGGGTTTCGTAGCGCGCCACCGTCACGGCCAACCCTGATCCATCGGACAGCGCAAACACCGACTGGATCTTGCTGGAAGTTGGAAATTAAGTGGTGTGAGCAGCTAAGGATGCCAAATCAGAACAAACCACACGACATGAGGGACACTAGGGCGGTACCCTTTTCCATATGTTGGTTCCCCATACACCACTGCCCTCTTGTTGTCTTTCAGTGCTCCCGCAAGGATCTCACTTGCGCTTGCAGTTCCTTTGTTTACCTGGTAACGAGTTCAAGTGTTCAAAGGTTGCTTCTTGTGATGCATAGTGTCATATCATCGATCAAGAAAATCCCTAATTGCGGCACTGTAAGCAAAGGCAACTCATACCAGGACAACTAAAGGTTCTGATGCAGCAATCGTGCTAGCTCCATCTGCCTCATAAATGTCACGGACACCACGGCTATCACATATATACACAATGACACCCTTGTCCATCCTGAGAAAACAAGAGTAGTGTTAAAACTTCACTCAATTTAGCAAGCGATTTAATATGGAAATCATAGAATCAATGTAGTAGTTTTCAGCCCAGAGTTACTACATATTATGAGAACAGCTTCGGCATAAAGATCAATAAACAAAGTCCCAGTTTTCACGAGTCCAACAGATATAAGCCAAGAGTAAAAGTATCAAGGTGTACAGCCAGAATTCACCAAGGAAAAGAATTCATATTTCTATTAGTCAGTTATTTAGTTAACATATTCCAGTTTAAAGTAGAATTAACAAACTACTTAAGTACATTGTCAACATATGTGCTGAAATATGATGCTGTAACAGCTTACCAAATCTTCGCAATCTCAATCCCTTCAGGAAAAAGGCCACCGCTGCATCAAACACAACAATGTCAAGATTTCAGCAGAATTAGGTGATAAGGCACCCCGAGTTCTGCAGGTAAAAACCTGTTATTCCGCAGATCCAACACAAAGGCCTTTACATTGTTCTCCCTTAATTTTTTAATGGCTTCCTTAACGGATCCTGGAATAGGATAGTCAAGTAGTGTTGTCAGCAGAGCTTGACATCTTTAAAACGGTAAATGCTTCAGAAAGAGAATATAACTTTGAGCCAAAACCAACTAAAACCTGCAGCATTTTGGTTAAATGTCGTTAGTTTGATGTAACCGATCTTTGAGCTGTCCTCTGAACCTGGAATCTCACACATCCTTGACCTCACCGGGTTTAAAGTATATCTTTCTCTCCTGGCATATATTAAGTTAAGATGAGAATGAGCAACAACGACTCTTTAGTCTTGAGTAAAAGTACTACTGAATTATTTCTTCTGAAGGAACTACAAAAGAATGGTGTACAGGAGTTTACTTCAAAACAACATGTCTGGTATCAGCTCCACTGAGGATAGTCAAATCTATTGAGCTTCCTTCGGGACCCCTAGCAGGAATCAACACAAGATTATCAGCCACTAAAATATTAAGTACGCAACATTCGCTAACACTGCATTACATTTTTTATCATACAAAGTACTCGTAATAGCCAAGTCTTACTGCAAGCGATCTGCTGCGTCATATATGTCCATGTCTTGTGCGCTTGTGTCGTCAATTGCCAAAATAACGTCTCCGGACACGATGCCCGCCTTTTCTGCAGGACCCCCTGGGGCTGCTGACATTACGGAGAGCCCTGCAGGTGATCCTTTAAGGGCCAACGGGTAGCCGATGGATAAACCTACACCCGTGAGGGCACCTTGCGTGCCAGACTTACTTCAGGAAAGGCAATGGCATGCATCAGAAAGCAGTTCATACTATGTTAAGTGAGCAGTAACCGGAGTTTGTGTGAGCATCATACCCGCAAACTCTTGAATTTCTCAGGTTCCAATAACCGAGTGAACGGATCATCCAATGTTGCAAGCATCTTCTTAATCGCCGCATCTGAAATACAGTCCAGGGTAGGCAAATTCAATCACATTGGCGTAAAAAACGCAGCACCTCTCCTATCCGTACAAACCAATGGGCTCTTTAAGTGGTTCATTGTTTTTATAAACGAAATTCAGATTCAACAACGGAGAGGTGGCATAAAATAGGTGCATCTGATTGAACCGTCGAATTTTGTTCTACAGTACTTTGTAAAAATGTGAAGGGAGATGTGATGACTTGCACAAGTGCAGGCCCGATAAACTTATTTTCACTAGGGAGCAGTGTTTTAAGTGGATAGCAAGGAGACTTCGCACAGTTAGAGCCATACATGTCTCCTGCCGCGTGTTCATGGGGTCGTCGCGGAGGGCGCGCTCGCGGTACCTGAACCAGCTCTGTCCGTTGAAGGACTTGTCGTAGTAGGCGCGGTCGACCGCGCGCCACGCCTCCAGGAACAGCAGGTTCTCCTCCGTGAGCGCGGACGCTGCTTGGGGCCAAAACCATGGGAGAGGGAAAGCACGAGTCAGCTAGGAGTAGAATATCGAAGCGCAGGACAGCCTGAACCGAAATTTGAATCGAAGCGCTGGATTGATTACACGGGGGCGGCGCCCTGCAGTAGGCGGGCGCGGAGAGGGACACGGCGAGCGCCATACCCACGACCGCGCGGCGGCCGAGGCCGGCGGAGGCAGAGGCGTCCGTCGCCGCCGCCGGGCTGGCCCGCGCCACCGTGGAGCCCCGGAGGGCCCGGTCGACCTGTCTGGATCGGGGCCCGAGGGAGGAGGATACGTGCCGTGGGGAGGCCGAGCGGGACGGGGCCACGTGCGGGCGGCGCACCGGGAGGAGCATGGGGGCGCCGGCGCGGCTGTGGTGGGAGGAGCTCGCGGGAGATGGAGGAGGAGAGGAGAGGGACAGTGTGTGGAGGAGAAGCACGCGGGCAGAGGGATGCAGCAGAGCACAGGCCCGCCCATTGGGCTGTCGCCCAGAGATAACATATACAGTACATCAAATAAATTATATTTATAAGTACTCCTCAAGAAAAAAAAAGTTATTTTATAAATAAAAATAGGAAAATAATAATACGAAAACATAGAAGCCGGAGAAAAAGGAGAAAAAAATAGAGATAGTACCCTCGGTCCAAGCGACCGAGCCGCTACAAGAAAGAAGAGAAGTCAGCATATTTGGATGTACCAGGCGGGAACTGCGTTAGCGAGTGCTAGCTCCCTCTGTAAAGAAATATAAGATCGTTTAGATTACTATATTATTCATGATATTCATCATTCTCTACGAAAAAATGATGATAAATCGCACAAAGCGAGTGACTAGGCCAACTCATTTAGCACTTGGGCGATGTAGCGACCGGAGCGTTTCTTCGTGATAGTTTCGAGGGTTTTTTCTAGATCACTAGTTGTCGGTTGGATTTCCATTTGGATCAAATACTGTTTTTCTAAATGTGAGCATTTTTTAATTTGAGAAAAATTTATTGAAACTGTGATTAGTGTTTCAAAAAAATACAAACATTTATTAAACCCTTTGTGTAAAAAATTAAGTTTGTGAGAATTTAATAAATAAATAGAATTTTTTTAGATAAATTGTGAATACTTCGTAAAAGAAAAGATGAGTTAGAAAAAGGTGACACCTAAGTGCCACTTTGACACGCTTAGGCGCTAGGCGACACACAAAACACCTTCACCTACGACATAAGCGAAATTCTAGGTGTGGCAAGCAAGAAATTGCTCACTCCGGTGAGAAAACATGCCACATTGCAGTGATGGGGCATATTTCAGTGCAGATTAGCTAGTAATTTTTCTATTCTCATGCTCTAATTTAACGTATATATGAGGCCCAAAAAATTTAATGTATGTATGCATATACTACCCAAAATATACTTTTGGTGGTCAAAATGTATGACCGCCTAGGCCGCCCCTAGTGTGCTAGGTGAAAGCAAAACACCTCAACTGCGCTTAATGCCTTTTTAACCTTGTAGAAAATAAGGGAAAGTAAAAAAGGATATAAAAGAAAAAGGAGAAATCGGTAGAGAAAACAATTGCAAAAATAAAAACCTAACGGGAACCTTCCTAAAAATGAGAAAACCATACCAAGAACCTTCCCAAAACCATGAAACCGAGGTCTAAAGATATTTGTGCCAGCCTAACTTCACTTGTTCAGGTTGCTTGTGTGTGCGCTTGCTCAACATCTCGTTGCAACGAGTGTCAAATAGAAATTACCCCTTTTAAATTCTAGGAAAATATTATATTTATACAATAATCATTTCAAAAAACACCAAAATAAAATATATTCAAAATAATGATTGCCGAAGTGTTCGCGAATTAAAACATTATTACTCAAATACAAAAATATATATTCATGATTTAAAACAACATTAATGAATTTTATTAAATATTCACATATTTTAAAGCAGGCAAGAAAAGCGTAATAAACCTTGGAATTTTTTAGGCAAACAAAACAATTTAGCGATGCATTGGGCCAGCCCAAAAAGCGCCTTGATGGGGGCGTGTCAGCGCTAATCTGCGTCCTGCGCGCAATATAGGATTTGCCCCAGGCCAATCTTCTTTGGGGCATGGGCCTCGTAGGCCCATGTTTGTTCAGGCTCGGTCCAAAATATTTTGGGTTTGTAGGAATTTTGGAACTCTTCCTTCACAGTAGCAATATTTAACATTGTGTTGTAAAGCTGGATGTGCCCCCACTTAAATCTCTCAAAAGATTTGCTATTTGCTTTCCTATGGTCCAATTAATATTGGTATATAATTCCGTTGCATCAAATTCAAGCAGGCTTGGCCTTGTGACCCTTCATTTCTTTTTCTAGGAAAAGTATATGGAGGTGTTTGGTTCAGAAATGAAAACGTAAACGTAAATGGAATCAAATGACACTGTTACTGTAAACGGTATCGACCAAAAACCAAAACTGTTTGGTTAGTAACTGTAACATTAATCAATACAGCAGCGCCTGGTCCTGCATTTCCCCGGTCAGCTGCTTCCAGAGCGGAGCGCCCAACCCGGCCATTGACGTACCATCCTCATGACCTTTCTGCGCTTCCTCTCAATCATCCTGGCGCCTTGAAGGACCTGCGCACCTCGCCGATGGTCTGGCCGAGAGGAGGCTCGGTGCGAGGAGGAGATAGGTGCAGTACTTTGACGAGCCAGAGGCTTACCCGGGGGCCGCGTCCACCGTCACTGGCTGCATGCCGCCCTTTGCCCCTGCAACATCCAGCTAGTACATTGCGGGTCCCTGTGCCATCCTCGCACGCCCCCATGGGAGCTGCTCGTGGAAGCCATTGCTCCGCAGCGATCTCTTCCCGTTCGTCGGGCAGACATCACTTCCGGCGACGGAGTTGACAATGGCCCGCTTCCGGTTGGCGCCGTCCTTGGCTACGGGATTAGACTGCTCAGGCCATGGGGAGTGGTGGGCGGAGATGGAGATCGTGGCGTGGATGTTTGGGAAGAAGACGACAGGGTCGACAGGAGGGAGAGAGAGACTGCCGTATCGTTTTCTGATTGCGCCCGATGTCTCGGGTATCGGTTTTTAATAGGGTGGGATCTGTTACCGGAGTTATCAGATTACGGAGAAATCTAAACAAACAAGATTTAACGTTACATGTTACCATCGTTATCAGATACCGTTACAATAGCACGAACCAAACACCTCCTATGATTCTACCGGCTGATAGACGCGGAGTGTCAGCCGCCTCGTGTGTGGGACGCGTGTCCCATGTGGCCCCTCATGCACTACTCTTAGATGTGCCTTAGATCAGCTCCAACGGGGCGACCTATTTCGTCTGCTGGCGTCCGTATGGGTCGGTGCGGACACAAAAGTCGGCCCAACACGCCGACTCAAAAGGACGCGCGTCCGCTTGTGTTCGCCTGCCAACCCATTCCCGGCCCATTTTTGAGCCAGATTTGCGTCGGCATGGAAACGAGACGGACGCGCGCGCCTACTCCTTTCCTCGGCCCCGCTGGTCGGTGGCAGCCTCCATCATTTTCCCTCCATTCCACCTAAAAACCCCTCCCGCCCGCGCGCGCTCCCGCCCCATTCCCGCCATGGTCGACGACCTCGAGGCCACCGCCGGCCTTGCCTCCCTTGCCTCGTCCGGCAAAGGCAAGCCTCGCGCCCCCCGCAAGACCGACGCGCCCAAGCCGAAGAAAGTGCTGACGCCTGAACAACGGGCAAAGGAGTCGGCCAAGAGGAAGGACCGGAGGCACGCGGCGGATGCGAGGGATGAAGCCATCACGGTGGCCGCCATCACCGCTACCGCGCAGCAGGAGGTCACCAATGCCCGCGTCATGGCGGCAATGAGGGAGGCGCTCTACATGATGGGGTTAAACCCTAGCCAGCACTACCTCGTCAACGCCGCCATAGCCGCCGAGGCCAGCACCGGCTCATCCGCCTTCCCTCAGACAGTGCTTCCCGACTCACCCCGCGTGTCGGCTTGCAACCCGGTGCCCGGCTTCTACGTCTACCCGCAGGCCTCCCGCCTCTCCGGGGAGTGCTCGCCCGACGTGAGAGTGGTCGCGCCTTCCACGCCCGTGCCCGCGCCCATCGACCTCAACGCCACATCGGTGGCTGGTGGCTCGTCTGCAGGAGGCGTGAGGAAACGCACGCGGCACCTCATGCGGCAGACGCCAGCCGACCATCTGCCGAGCGCACGCAACCTGTTCGACGGAATGCCGGCCGCCGGCGACGACAACTACATGCAGAACATGATCTTCGAGGGTGGTGCACAGGCCGCTGGCTTCAATCCCGACGAGACACAAAGCCAGGACGGACGAGGGGCGTTCACGTCGTCCGCTGGCTACAAAGAAGATCAGGCGGCCTTCATGCATGATCAGGTCGGCCTAGACCTGGACGGCTTCCCTCTTGACCATGAGTTTCTGGAGGACTACGGGATAGAGGAAGAGGACGAGTGCGACATCGAAGGGGAGCCATTGTTCGAGGACGAGCTCGCCAACCAAGCCGCCGGGTCGAAGCCGAAGCGCAAGAGCAAGTGGACCAAGGCATACACGATGGCCGAGGACAAGTTTCTTTGCGAGTGTTGGAGAGACATTGGGCAAGACCCCAAGACGGGCGCCGAACAAAAGCATTTGAATTTTTGGATTCATGTCCATCGTGAGTTCCATGAGTGCAAGAAGTTTCTGCCATACCAAATAGTCAGCGCGCGTGGGTGGGTGTCCATTTCGAAGCGATGGAGGGTGATCCAACAAGACTGCAACTAGTTTTGTGCCACTCTTGAGAGAGTCAAGGCTCGCCCCGTGAGCGGCATCGACATGCAAGACTTGGTATGCTAGCAAGCTGCCCTCTTTTGTGTCATCAAGTTTATGCTTGCGTGTTCATTTCCATACCATTTTCCCAATATGCTTGCATGAAATACATTTGTAGGCATTTCAAGCTTTGGAGGCATTCAAGGTCCAACACAATGGCAAGTGCTTCAACCTCTCCCATTGCTTTAGGGTGATCAAAGACGAGGAGAAGTTCAAGGCGCAATATGCCGCCCTCAAGTCGCGTGGTGGGAAGCAAGCCGTGGAGGAGGTTGGGGACGGCGAGAAGGCTCGGCTGTGGGGGAAGACCAACTCCAAGAAGGAGGACAAGCGGGATGCGGCATCGATCGCCTTGATCGCAACCGTGGAGGACATGATCACCAAGAAGGACTCAAGGGAGGAGAGGCGCCAACAAGAAAGGGAAGAGCAAATGAATGCCTTCATGGAGATCCAAAGGAGGAGGCTTGACATGGAGGCGGAGAAGCAAGCACGGATGCTTAAAATAGAGGCGGAGAAGCAAGCCAAGATACTAGAGATCGAGGCCACCAACGCCAAGACCAAGATGAAAGAAGTGGCTCTCGCGAGCATGATGACTGGGGTGGAGATCATGAAGGTGGATCTCAACAATGTGTCGCCAAGGAAGAGATCGTGGTTCGAGAAGATGCAGGCCGACATGCTCAAGTTTGACGATGAGTGA